ATATGTTGCTACTAGTAAGCTATATGGAGTAAAGATTTCTGCAATAAATAATAGGCACCCTCTCACAATTTCTAATTCTGCCATTACATGGAGTCCAATATACGGCTTCTTCCGGATGTTTAGATGTAGGAAGTAGTCTATACATCTGAACTATAAGTATTATACATATGCCTAATGTGTACGCCACTTGTTGTTCCAAAGCTTTTTAAAAAATTCCTCGCAGGAGGTAACCCCCCCGGACAGCAAGATAATGGTCCAGATACAAGAAAGAAACTTATCCGAATTAAATGAAAATGGATGTTCCAGAGAAGGAGACTCAGATAAGAATGTAAGTTCCTCTGATTCAGAAGCCGATGATGACGTATTATCTGTGTTTGATGAGATGGATTTAGGTGAAAATGAAGAAAAGGACTCTTTGGATTAAGATCGAATTATTGAAGAGGACTATGAAGAGGAAGATGACTTCTGTAATATTTTCTCGCCTACCTCCTGGGCAAGTGAAATGATATCTACTAGCGACGTGACAGAGGAGGAACTAGACGAACTGATCAGTAATATGCAAGAAGTCCCTTCGAAGAATGAAATTATTAAAATGTGGAAGCGCGCATATGCTTTAGAGGTACAAACCATGTCCAAAATGCTCATTTCTCTATTTGAATATTACGAAGAGTTAAAACAAAAACATCGGGTAAGGGAAAAACTTGCTTTCACTCATTGGGATAGTGTCATGTGCAGTTGTTTTGACGTACTAGCAAAGAGGGAGGAAGAATACAGTAAACTTTTCAACGGCTTCATCATGAAAGATGAGTTGACAAAACAGGAATTAGTGAATTTCTTGAACAATTGCAAGAAGGAGGCTGCTGAATTTAGGGAATCTTTAGAGACCTTTGCGAAAAAAGAATTCGATGGAAGAATTATTCCAAGAAGGGGCGACTAAGAATGGGATTTGTCAAATGGAAGAAGTTACCCAAGAGAGTGATAGAATGAGTTATTCTCCACATATATATGTGCCAGTGCCAACAACTATCGCGCAGGTTAATAATGTACGAAAGGGAAAGGGAAAAACGTATGCTTCGCTTCGATGCTATAGTCGAACAAATTGACTTGGAAGAACCGAGATCTCATAATCTTACGGCCCAGCGATCCCAAATGAGGAGCAAAAAAAAGAAGAATAGCGTTTCGGAGTTTTCCATAATATAGCATTTGTGACGTCCCTATCGCGCCCATAAATATCCAGCCGTAAGGGAATAATATCTATGTGAAATATGGAAGCTACTTAGATTGGTAGTTTATCTGTAAATGAGGTACATCTTTTTGAATTTCTCTCTGTAAGGAATGACAAGTTTCTCTATATCTGTGGCTTCTCTTCTGAGTTAACTCAATTTTTTTAGTTTGTTTCTTTGAAACTTTTGTTTAATAGTAAACATTTCACAATTAGAAATTAACTTCCCTTTAAATTGGTGTTCACATGCTTCTTAGTAAGGAAGAATAATGTATATGTAACTGTAGTTTTCTACAGACTTTTGCGCGTAAGCTACCTACAGGCATATAAGATCACATAATATATGTATTTCTCTATAATATCACAATTTCGGCTGATAAATGAAGCAGGATATACCTCTAAGAAGGAAATTCGCTAAGGACAGTACACCGTTTTAAACGGAATTATGATTGTTATTTGTGAATTCCTCTCCAACGCAAGGAGGAAGTCTGAATGAGGAGTCACAACGTAGACGTTAATTTTAGGGGCGTCAATTGGTGAATAAACATGGAATAAAGGACATATCTAAAAAAGATGTGCATGTTGAAAGATGATTTACCTGGCACCTAAGCCATTGCTACATAATGTTTATCGTGATCAAGTTGTAGAAGTATGGTTATTAATGTTGGAACTTCAGAAGGATAATTTGAACACTTAAGAAATGATAAAATATAGGCAAAGAGAAAAGAAAAGTTTAAAATATGATGATGTTATTCCCTAAGAATAGGACACATTGTTTAATACAATGTCAGGGGATTATAAGGGATACATGTAAATATTAAGATAATAAATTGAGGAACCCCCTGCTAGCATAGGATACCACGACACAGTTACCATATTCATGTAATACATAACTTGTGGAATGATTTAACACAAGGAATACTAAGAATGATACAAAATATTCTGCCTATGTATGCGCCTTCTTTAATTTAAATAGGGCGTTATTACTGGAATGTTCTTTTTATTAAAAAGCAGAGAATTAATTCTAAATTTTGTTCATATATTTAAAGACTCTCTTATATATTTTTTACGAAAATCGAATAAATTATGGCCACATTCTTATGTCAGGGGGTGTCGAGTGTTCTGAAAGTAGAAGCAGTTTTTGAAGTCGACTGTGAAATTATAATATTAAAGGAGCAGTCACATATATA